CATGGAAATGGTAGTAATCATGTTTGTAGCTGCTGCAAAACAGTTCGGAAATGGTTTTAGATATTTTCTTCCTTTTTGCCTTCTTTCCTTGATTTTTATTGTTTCTCGCTTTTTCTTCTAATCTTTATGTTTCCATAGTTTTTAATCCTGTATAAAATTTTATAATATATAATTTTTATTGAGAAAGACGCCTCAAATCAATTTAAAAGCCAGATACTATCCCTGGTCATGTGACAATGAATTCTGCAAATTAACAGCACAAGATGAAGCTTTCAATTTGTCACCTAAATCCATGGCCAAGTTATTTAACTGGATCTGAGCTGAACTGCTAGAAAGCCAGCTCCCTGCGCAACTCAGAAGCGTTCCATGAAGATCTTGGCACAGCTCCGTTAAAATAATGAAATTCGACTATGGGATTTCCCCCGCCTTCCTTACCTCACTGGTGAACAAATCAGCTCTCATGTATGGGTGTTCTTGTCTGATATCCAATATTCTGGAACAAAGAGATTTTTATGTAAGATTGTAGCGAGTTCAGTCTCAGTTGCACACCATAGAGATAAAGAAGGAATGGAGTTTTTGGCAACATTTGTATAAACCAGTTAATACCAGTTAGAATAAAGAATCATGGAAATTAAGACATTTAGGAAAAGTCTACACCAGATCCTTATGTTGTACTGTTTCCACTGCTTAGACAGGGTTTTGTCTTGTTTTTTAAAAAAAGCATTTCTTGGTTTCTATTCTTCTTACATGTGGAAACTTTAAAAATATGAAGTTGCTATGTTTATATGATACCTTAATTTTTTTTTACATTAGTGACAGGGAACTATAGCAAGTAAATTAAATCACCTTTTCATCTTAGTCCATTGGAAAGGAAATATTGCATCCTATGCTTAAGTGTATTCTAAATATGGAGGATTATCATGGGTAAGAGTACTTGGCTTCCTACCACATCAACATCTTCACTAAAGACAAATAGTCAAGACAACCTCAGTGTCCTGTATATGGACACATCCAGGGAGGTTCCCTGGTGATAACAGTGAATATTCTTTTGTTTCATTCAATCCTTTCATCCTAATATACAGGCCGGTAGATTATTATTACATTTTTACGTCGCCCATCTTCCCCAGGTTATGTTGCCCATCCAAGTGAGACTGCACTCATTCTAGACTACCTTGCTTCCTCGCGAGCCAAAGTCTCCAATAGCTTCGAAATATCTCCTGGACAATCAGAAACCATGATAGTGAATTTGCATACTCTGTTATCAAGAGTAAGAGCATGATCCATACACTGCCTCATCAGAGGGAGTTCCATATTTCCACTGCACACAGCAACAGCCACTCTGAAACAAGGGGAGAAAATGAAACAAACCATTTTTCTCTTTGGGAGAATACATTTCTTAGCTTGTTTTATACACTTAATAGGATCAAGGATTAAAATATACCATATGGTCCCCTTTTGCCACTCATAACATCCTTGTACTAAATGCACATTTTACAAGCCTCCAATATTTGTTGTTCTTTGTTTCCATATCTACACAGCTCCTTCCATTTATTGGATTATAGTTCCCATCAGTCTGGCCCTGGTGGGACATGGCCAGTCTCCAAATACTGCTAATTTCAGAGCCATCTGGCCCACCTGCCACTAAATCAAGGATGGAGAAAGTAGGAAGCATTTCCAGCATTTTTCCTACAGAGTCCAACTAGAGAGCAATTGTCATAGGAAACTGCATCCACGCACTTCTTAGCATCAAGGCAGTCCGAGGATTTAATTTATCCTTTTAGGACCAAATCTCAAAAATCACAAAGCCTTAAGGTAGGGTAGATTTCAAGGTTCTGTGAACTTGGATGGGGGGAAAAATGACAACTTGATTTTTACAGTTTTATTCTATGCATTTAAATAGTTATTTCTGAGAATGAGAATCTGATGAAACCTATGGATCAAAGGGGTCCATGTCACAAAAAGGTTAAGAACTCCTGGTGTAATAGATTTTTAAAGGATTTCTAATGTACAGGATCTCAATAATGCTAAAACTAAAGGATGTCTAAGATATACACTCAAAAAAGTATTCCTGAAATGAATCAGCAGGTAAACTTCACATTTCCAAACTGTATTTTAAAATGTTCCCAAACCAAAGTCATTGTTTTGGAATGTCCCATCAAGTGGGCAACTACAATGACCTAAACTCAGATGTTTTAGTTTGGCTTCATTTTATGGAATCAAGAAAATCTGAGGAAATTAGCCAGCTTTCCACCATCAACCTCAAGAGAAGCAGCAGCAGCTTGAAGCAGAAGATGCATTTCTGTTGTCTTGGACATAAATGTCCTTTTGCTTTCTGGATGTTGAGCTTGACAACTGGAGTCTAACAGGGTGTGTCCAAGCAGTTTTTCTGGTGAGAATACAAAAGTATTTTTTCTTGTCTGAGACTTCTTGGTAGTCTCTCAACCAAACATTGGCCAAACCTGGCCCTGTAGGCTTTTAAGATCAGCCAAGGTCGGTCAGGAGTTGCCAACCCAACTGCAGAAAGATAAATCTCCATTGAGTCAAACTCAACTCTTTCTGGGAGGTTTTTTCAACTCTGCATTCTAGTGTACAGCTTTGAAATTCCTTGGGTGGTCTCCAATCCAAGTACTAATGTATCCCAAATGTATCAATACTATACAAAACTGAGCTTTTGGAGAATTCTGTACCTTTTGCCCTTTAACTCTGGTAGCTGCCCAGACACAAGAGCAGCCAGTCCAATGGCTCCTTCTGCATCGACAACAGCACGTTCATATTCCAGCAACCTCAGCATAGAAATCAAGATGTCCTCTTCTCTGAAGGAGGAGAGCAGCAGTGTCAAACAGAGGGCTGCAAGCATGGCACTTGATTTCTTAATTATTCAAAAGTATTGCACCAAACAAAGCAACAAGTGAAGAGACAAGGCTAATCTTCGTCTCGCCTAATATCAAAAGGTCCCAGCTCTTTTCTGTAATTTTAAATAAATGGATCTTGCTTCAGTCATGTTCTGCCTATGTTTCTCCTTCATTCTGTCAAGGATTATTCAAGGGTCTGCTTCTTTGCTACTGAATGTGACACATGGACTCTGCCTGTGTCACAAGGAGCATGAAAAAGCTAATCATGATCACATTCAAATTCAAATCAATGGGCAAATTTAGGCCTTAGTGAAATTGTTGAAGGCAACAGGACCAACTCAATGTGAGCCTTTTGTTAAAAAAGTGTTTTTACTGAATTACGTCTTTGGCTTTCCAAACTCAAATTGAAACAAATGCTTAGAGCAGATCTATCTGGAAGTTCTTTTGGTGAGGTTTGGAACCTGGTAGCCATTTACATATATAATCCAGACACTAAACATCTAATATGGATACCTAAAGCAGCCTAGAATGAAACAAAATGTAGAAATCTAGAAACTGCCAGGAAAAAAAGAATAGTTTTAAATACAATTATCTAGATGGCATATGCGGGGAAAGGAGAACAGACTGGCTTTATATGAAAGGATTTTTCAAAAGAGATTTACTGAACTAGTTAAAATAGTTTAAGCATTACAGAACACTTGGGCAAACACTTCCCAACATGTCATGAAAGTCTCACACTACAATCAAACTTATCAAGAAATACACTTATTTCACCTTCCACTGTTTGATAATCCAATCTTTATTAAATTGGACCGTATGGTTTACATCAAAGGCACTTGCTGGCCTTTGATTACAAAAGGGTGGGGAGGATTCCTTCTTGACTGCCTCCCCCCTGCCCCGGTTAATTTCCCTACAGTTTGTGTAATGGGTTCTCCTGAATAGATTCCTTCCTCCTGTTCTGTTGGGCAGGATGGGGGTTGGCTTCATTTTCCAATGGCCTTTTTGGGGGTGGGTACATTTTGCACAACTTGTCTGCACCGGGTTTAAGACTTAGCAGCTAGCTGGCTTCTGGCTCAATTCCTAAATTGGTTTTTCAGATTTGGAGGAGGTGGGGCTTCATTCCCATCTCCACACTTGAAAATAGATGTACAATTGAAACCAGAGGTTTTCTTTTTAGGTATGATGGACAAACAGATGGAAAGAAAACATGGGAATTTATTTCTTTATACTGTAACAGCAGTGAGATTATATAAGCAGAAATGAAAAGAAAATTACAAATACCTACAGCTGAAGAATGGATAGTGAAATGAATGGAACTGGCAGAGATGGCAAAATTGACTATGATTAAAAAAAGACTTTGACTGGCTTTGTTTGTTTGGAAACCACTCAGACTCTTTGCTTGAGACTGAAAGAACTGAAACTTTAATTTTGCGGTTTGATGACCAATACTTTTCATAATTATAGAAATACTTTATATCAATAAAAGGTAATACAAAATAAGTCTGTATTAGTTTATTTTAAACATTAGAATAAGAGGTGAATGTATTATATATCTGTGCCTGCACCAAAGAAAGTTCAAAGTTCTTTTCTCACTGATTTAAAATTTCTTTTCTGATCTTTTGTTTTCTTATATTTTACTCCTTGCTGAAATTTAATAAAGTTTTAAAGAAACATACCAAAAAATGCCACATTGGAAAAAGGCTTTGTGGTAGTAAATATCCTTCAAGAAGCTCCGTGGTTTGAGCTTAAAAGAATTATACTCATATATAGCATAGACAGCTTGCAATTTCCCAAATTACAAAGGAGTTTTATTATTTATTCATATTTATATAGCTGCCCATCTCACAATCCAGTGACTCTGGGCAGTGTACACACTTAAAAACGAAATATAATTTTAAAGTTTTAATATTAATATTAATTTAATATTAATTTGTATAAGACACAAAACTAAAAACAGAACAAAAAAACAATTCAGAACTGAAACTCAGATGTGGGGTACTCAAAGTTTAAAGGACAAATTACATAAGCAGGATGCAACTAACCATAAATGGCATATGCATATGTAAAATGCAAGGTTTTCTTGCGGTAACTAGAAAAAGGCAGGGACCTTGCATTTAGCAGGATCCAAATGCACCTCTCAGGGCAAAGGGAAAACTGCCAATGTTCTGTTCCCTAGAACCAACAAATCCTTTGTTTCTTCTCACTCCAATATTTCTGGATATGAATCAAGCATTTCCCAGTTAGAACCTCCCTGCTATCAATTTCCTCCTTTAAACTCAGATCTATTTTGTACTCAAGCCAGAAAATCCAAACTGTGACTTGGCTTTTAAGATCACCTGGAGGTGCCCAGGAAAATAACCATCTCAAATACTAGTTCTTCTCAAAGTAGGCATTGCCTTTACATACCTCACTGTTACAACTTTATCAACCCCGCTCCCCGTCGGTTGCAAAGAGTTGGTGCCAAAAGAATATCCACTCATTTCTGAAAAACAAATGACGCAAAGACAAACAAGGAATACCGCTGGTTATAAATAAATACTAAATCAATGCACAAGGCTTGACTACTTTACAATCTATGTTAGAATTCAGGAAAGGTTTTTTGGAACGTCAAAATAGGGCAAGTTTCTTTCAAGGTGTTGCTGGCTATTCTACTGAGACCAAGGATAACGACCAGTCAAAAGAGTGACACAAAGCAGGACATAGAATGGGGTGGTAAGGCAAGAGGATTAGAAGAACCAGAGGGGTAAAAAGGTGTAAGCCCAGAAAAAGGAATTAAGAAGATGGAAGAAATGGATAGAGCTGCGTGAGGATCACGTTTTGAAGCGGCCACCAAAAGTACTGCTATAAGTCCATGGCATCAACATTAATGCAAAATATTCTGACTATATTCCTTGGAGTGATGACACTTTCACAGTGGAATTTAGTGCTTTATAAACTATTTTCCTACTTGCCTTTGAGGCACAGGCACGGGGGAGAAGGGGCTCTTGGGAGAAGAGACTAAGCCTTAGGAAGACAGATTGAAGGAACTGGACATGTTAAACCTTGTTTGAAAGAGACAGAACCCTCTTTAAATCCCAGATAGAAGTCACAGGATGCATCAGGTGTAGCTCTAGAGTGCAGGATGTGGGAAGGCAGATACCACTGGAATATTATGAGAAAAGAACTTTCCAACAGGAAGAGCAACTGCAAGTGGAACTACCATTGCTGGAAAACTATCAGCTGGAGTAGTTTAATTAGATTCCTGCCCTGAGTAGGCACTCCATGACCTAAACAGCCCCTCCAAGCCAACTTTGGGTTTCTGTCATCCAGCTGCAGCCCAGGATAAGCTGATGAGTTGCAGTTACTAAAAATGCTACATCTTTACATGCTGTGCAGAGTTCATTTTCCCCATTTTTATCTTTTGCATGTTTCTATATTTAAAAGGAACCTCAAATAGGTACCATTAAAATAGGGCAACCAGCTTTTCTTTTTCCTCTACTTTTTAATTTTTTTGTTTTACTCTCAGCAGGATAAGAGACAAACTACCTATAGAGGCTCTAATCAAGAGTTACCCTATTTCATTTTTTAAAAAAGATGCTATGGAAATGAAGTGCCTTATATGAAGTACTGTAGTACAGAATGTCTTTACTTTTCTTGCTGCAAAAGAGTAAATAGGTATCAAATCAGTAATGTATCTTTTAGTTCTCTGCCTAATTGGCCTAAAGTGGTGCTTAAAAATCAGATTATCACTTAAACCAAAGATTGCTATGGGGAATGACCAGTTTCTGCAAGTAAAACCAGCATTTACTATATGAAATCAGTAGTGCCTGCAACTCTTTCTGGTAGGAAATCAAAAATCTAAAACAGATGTTCTTGCCTTTCAAAGAAGAGTTTGCAACAGGAAATCTCTACTCTCTACAACTCAAACTAGAGTTTGCTATAGAACATAACAAGAGAAAATAAATTCCTTTTCTCTTTCTTCACTATACTTTTTTTCCTTTTCCACTTTTCTGCACTCTTTTTTTGTAGCTCACATTAGTTTTTATCTGTATAACTGTAATGCTTAATAAAAATTTCTGTGTTAAGCTAAGCTTCTGCAGCTCAAACAAGTATTTGATGTAGAAAAATCACAAGTCTGTCCATTTAAAACAAAACTTCAGCTTCTGCACTTTAAGGAAGCCTTTACTGTCTGAAAATCCTGCCTTCCTAGCCCCCACCCCCCCGCCGCTCCAAATCAGCATTTTAACACACCCCACAAACATCACCCTACAATGTTTCTCCGCTCGCAGGCTCGAAATTTATATTTGATGGACGACGCGCCTGGTCTTCACCGACCAGTCAGGGCGCAGCCGGGGCGGCGCTGCATCCTAAGGATTTTCAGCTGGAGAATTCCACCCCTTTCCCTCTGGGGGGCTGCGCTTCTTGCGCCCTTTAAGCGACAGCGCGATTTCTTTGAAGGTTGAGCAAAGAGAGGATATATCCGGAGAAACTCGCTCTCCTTTTTTTTTTTGATAGCAAGGGACTAGCAGCCTCTCTGCAAACTTTTTTTCTCCCACCAGAGTAACTCCCCAAAAAGTTGCTTCGTGTTTTTTAAAACAAAACTGGATGAAACTGGCGATTCGTGACTCTTCTCGTTGCTGCAGAAAACGACAACTTGCCTTTAAAAATCCTCCTTTTGCCAAAAGAGTAATTGGAAAGTTTTGCTCTCTTTGTGGCGTTGTATTTATTTATACATTTTTCTGTTAATTGGCATGGCTAATTTTTTTGTTTTTTAAATGCTGCCAACCAGAGTTTGTTTTCAGGCAGACAGCTGCCTGGGCTCCCTATTGAAAAACATTGCGCAATTTAAAAAGCCACTGTTTTTCCTTCTTAATTGTTCTAGTGTAAAAAGGAAAAAAATAATAAAGGAGGAAAAGGCAAGATGGTCTAACAAGAGCAGAAGTGCTGTTGGTGATCCAGGAAGACCAGTTGTCTAATAAACACCTTGCAAGGGCATCCACAGTGCTTTAATCACATGATAGCTGCTGCCATCTTGACTTTTTTGACTCCCACCCCCAAGGATACCCTTCTGGTTTGTTTAGCCTCCCAGGGTTGACAACCCCTTGCATTCTTTTTTTTTGGGGGGGGGGATAATCTCTGCTAAGAGAACTCCAGCAAACACTAATGCATTTTGTGGTTTTTGCAGCAACCAATTTGCAGATTCGTCCTATAATGTCTGTTTAAAAATCATGCAGTGGAACTTCCTCTTTGCAGAAGACTGAACTCTTAGATTGATAGGCTAGGTAACATTTGTGTGATAGAAGCTCCTTCTCTGCAAATATCGATGTAAAACATATATCCGTGATCTACTGTCAGTTTTTATACTGTCAAAGGCATTTTTTAAAGAAAGAAAAACTGTGGCTCAACTTAGCAACGGTTGATCCTATTGTCAGATTTCAACTGTAGGAAGCTAACATCAGAATTACTCCAAATATTAGTTATACATATAATTCTTAAATCTGTTGCTCCTGTTCTTTTTATAACATGGTGTGTGCAAAAGCTTTGCCAGCGGCAAACTGCATTAAAAACGACTCTGATGAGTTGCTTTGCCTAGCCATCTCATCATGAAATGGTACCATCTTTTATGACTTAGAATGACATAATGTACACCAGCTATCTTTAGGTCTTTCTCCACTGCTGAGCTGCAGTGCTCTTCACCCATCCTTCAGCTGGGAGAAATCTCTACCTGCATGAAATTTGCTTTCCCAGTTGCCAATTTCTCTCCAGCCTCGATTGCCTCTCTTCCCAGTCACTCCAGTCTCCTGATTTCCCTCCAAAGTCATGGGGACCAAAACCTAACAAAATTTACACGCCTTAAGACTGTCCTTGGATGGGGCTGGAAGAATAGGGAAAAGTCTGCATAAATGCTGCTGAACCTGTCTCACACATGGATTGGGGAGTGGGATGAAGACAAAGTTGTGTGGACACAAAAGAGGCTCTCAGGAAATATTTGCACAACGGTTAAGGTCAAGAGGGAAAAGACCCAAATCTCTTACCTCTGTAAAACTGAAAGCAGCTTGTATAGGCCTGATCTTTAACAGGTTGTCCCTTCTTTAATGACTGCTGTGCTACAGGGACATTCTCCAGTTCTACACCCTGAGAAAGAGGAAACAAATCGGGATGGTGCTTGAGTTGAGCTCATACCTATTGCCCCTGCAAACCTCAGTATCGTATCCATTTCCACAGGTTTCCAAATGTTCTATAATACTCTTTCCTCTTTCAATCTGGCAAGGGACCTCTTTGGGTCTGCTGCAGAAACTAAACTCTGCACTGGGCAGAAGACAGTGGGAGATATTTGGGGGTCCAGGTCTGCACAGGAATAGACTCCGCATCATTACAGGTGAAATTAAAGTGTATTCCAAAACACAACAAGCACTTTCCTGCTGCTGCACATTATAAGGGACAACCCTTACATAACATTGGTTTATATTTCTGGAAAGGAGAAGACATTTACAGTATGAGGAACTATGGTAGTTCCCCGGCACTAAACCACCAAGACAGAAAGAAACCACCAAAAGTCATAACTAACATAACTTAGCATATTTGCAAATGCATTTGCTAGACTTTTGAGAGCTAGTGTGGTGGTGCGGTTAAGGTGCTAGACCACCGGTGTGGAGATCCAGATTCACCTCCATCCTCTGCCATGGAATTCACCAGGATCTATGAAGTCAGGACTTCTTTCTCAGCCCAAGATATCCCTCAGGACTTTTGCTGTAAGGATAAAATACAGTTACTATAACTAGGCTGCAAAAGATGGATGACCATAGAAGGTAGCAAACAACTTTTTGTTGCCATCTAGTGATCTTCCAGATTTTTGCAGTCCAGATATGGGAACTCTAATCAGAAGACCTGTAAGGATGGAGGGCAATTTTCCAGAACACTGTTTTGTTACATTTTCTGCCAATGGACATTTTAAAGATTCCCTGTACAATAGTCAGTTCTAAGATGGTATCTTTCTCTCAGTTCCCTATGCTTGGTTGCATTTGAGAACCAGCGTGGGGTAATGGTGAAGGTTTGGGACTAGGACTGGAGAGACCCAGGTTCAAGCCTATCTGCAGCCAGGGAAACTCACTGGGTGACTTTAGACCAGTCACTGTCTGTCAACCCAGCCTATGTCACAGTGTTGTTGTTGTGAAGATAAAATGAAGATGTTCTTCATGGAAGCCTCCTTGAGGTCCTGAAGTAAAAATGGGATCTAAATTTAACAATAAATGTGTGCAACTTGTATAAACATATCACATGAGCACAACCACTTTGATCCATAGAATGAGATCTTCCAAAGATATTTTTCAAAGATACGCACATTTGCATACTCACCATCTGAGGATCAGGAATTTCAGCAATGGTTTTGCAGGATCAAAATAGTCTATACTTCTGGGGACATCTACTTTCAAGAAGGTTATCTGAGAGATTCCCAGGCTCAAAAACTGGGAAAATCTGTTCTAGCAGTTCTAATTCCTTGTTCTAATCTTGTGTTCGCCAGCCCATATTGCAATGAGGTGAAGGAAAGGAAGATGGCCCTATTTTCCATTATCCTGTTGAAGTCTAGTGTTTTCCTATTCCTTGGTTCAGTGAATGAACTGAGTTTGAACCAAGACTGAAACCTGAAATAGAGATTTCAAAATGCATACACAAAGAAACCAAAGTTGTACAGATGCTTACGACCACGAAGACTTGTTGGTTCAGATGTTTCAAGGCAGCAGAGTTGCTGGCCAGCAATCCACTGGGACTCCCTGCTGGTAATATCACTGCATCCAGTTTGGGCACCTGTTCGTAGATCTCCAAACCCATGGTCCCCAGCCCTGATAGATAGATAGCACTATTATCTCTGAAGACAGAAGCAGAAAGAAAAGATTTGCTATTTGACAAAGAGCAATACTCCATTATTTACCTTCCCAGTGTAGTCACCTATTCCCTTAACCCACCTCCTTCTGCCTTTCTTCCTTTTGGTTCTTTCTGCACAGATGAGGGCACTGGTTGGGCCCAGGGGTGGGGGGTTCTTCATTTGGAAATGTGCCCACCCAAGTTCTGGGTTTTGAATCAGCCAAGATCCTGGGGGGTAGGGGTGGCTATTGTTATCCATGAGTCTTGTGGGCTCTCAGAGGCTCCACTCCACAGATAACCAAAGCGAGGTGCTCTAGTTGATGTTGGGCCTAAGGTTGTGCTGGTGTACAATCCTCCCTGCTGCCCAGCATCATCCCTGCCTGAGCTGCTGGATTCTGTCACTGGGCTGGGGACAGAGTCCTCAAGGCCGAGGATTCTGGGGGATTTCAATCTACCATCTAGTGGTATTGAGTCTAAGTAGCTTCGGAGTTGTGGCTTCCCTGGCAACCATGGACCTCTTTCGGATACTAATTATCTGGTTTTTCTCTTGAGGTAGTTGCAACATGATCTGGTAGTAGAGGACGCTTGGTAGTGGACGGTTCACTTCTCTGATTGCCTTCCAGCTCACTGGTGTCACCCTTCCCCATGGGGAGACATGACCTATTTGACTGGCCTGAGAGGCAGTTGATGGACCTGGAGAGTTTCTAGCAAGAGTTTGGGCTTTTCCCCAAGGATTTGCTGGGGAAGCCTTAGTCACTACCTGAAATAGGCAGGTGGCTGAGGCCCAGGACCACACAGCCCCTACGTGGCTTCTCCTTATGCACTGATCCTGGGATGTGTCTTGGTTTACTGAGGAACTCCTCCCTTCCTCGAAGGAATTGAGTCTGACTGAACACAGGAAAGACCCTGTATTAGGGATTATCTTATAGCGATCAGGGCAGCAAAACACTGATATTTCTCTACCTTTATCCACTGATAACCATCCAGCAGCCCTATTTAGGTTGACTCAGTCCCTCCTGGGCAAGTAGGGGCCCCAGAATCATCTACTGGGCTGCTGCAAAGAATATTCTGACTATCTGGCAGATAAGGCTGCTCAGATCCATCCCAAATTGGACTCCAACTGGGCAGGTCTGGGCAAGATGCCTAGGGCCCGGGCTTGTGGTATGATCTGGGATGAATTTGAACTGGTGACTCCCCAGGAAGCAGACAGGGTTCTCTGTGTTGGTAGTTTGCCCCCCTGTTTATTGGAACTGGGCCCCTCCTGCATCATGAAAGCAGCCAGGGAAGTGACCTTGGTTGGGTCCATGTCATGTGTTGACCATGAGGATGGGGTGGTCCCTTTAGCCTTGAAAGAGGCAGTAGTGTCCCCTCAAGAGGCATCTTTGGACCCAACAATTTTAGACAACTATCATCCTGTCTCCAAACTTTTGTTTTTAAGGAAGGTTGTTGAGAAGGTGGTCAGACTGGAGCTTATGAGAACCCCGGAGGAAGGGGATTACCTAGACCCATTTCAGCCACATTTCAGACCAGAATTCAATACGGAGACAGCCTTGGTCATGTTTGTTATTGACTTGTGGTGAAGCAGAGATGGGGGAGGTGTATCCATCCTTGTGCCCCTTGATCTCTCAGCAGCTTTCGATACCATCAAACATGGTAATGGAATGTGAGAATGACCTTGGAAGATGGGGGGAAGAGATGGTCCCTAGGGAACGATCAGACAAAAGGGGGAGGAGCCTACAACTGAGAAACGGGCAGAGAAAGAAGCTTAGAAAGGATCTGACCTAACTTTCAGGTGGTAAAAAAGAGACGGTGGAAGATTTGTACTTTCAGACTTGCAAGATTCTGTTAACATAGCCTTACAATAAAGTAGAATTAGCTCCTAACTTTCAGGTGGTAAAAAAGAGACGGTGGAAGATTTGTACTTTCAGACTTGCAAGATTCTGTTAACATAGCCTTACAATAAAGTAGAATTAGCTCCTAACTTTCAGGTGGTAAAAAAGAGACGGTGGAAGATTTGTACTTTCAGACTTGCAAGATTCTGTTAACATAGCCTTACAATAAAGTAGAATTAGCTCATCTTGTGTTTCCTGTCTGGTCTACTTGGGAGGCTGAGAGTATCCTTTTGGATTGACTCTGGGTGCTGGGAACAAGGGCCACATTTTTATGGTAATTCTCGACCTTCCTCCAGGGCCAGTTCCAGTTGGTGCCGGTTGTGGGGAGGGAATGGGTGCTTTCTAGTCCCCTTTTTGCAGGGGCCACAGGGATTGCTGTTTTCTCTCCCACATGTACATGAAACCACTGGGAGAGGCCATTTGTCATCTCTTTGAGGAAGACCGGATCAGGAAACAGACTCCACAGGAAGGCTAGAACTATACTTTACTGAGAGTAAATAATATAATAACATAATCTTGTGAGCCTGATTGTGCTTTATCACCCCTATCTCTTATCTCAGGGAGGAGCCTGCCTGAGTCTGTTCCAAATATTATCTTGTTTCCCAGGACTTAAGGAATGTTTCAGCCCTCCTTGCCTACATTATGATTCTTGCCTATTTCCCTCAAGGTCCTTCCCCTGATTCTCCATACATTTACTGGTTTGGGATTTGGTATCATTAGTATGCTAATAGGTATATCTTTCGACCCTGGGCTGGCCAAGTGAGACTGTCGAGGTTCTGTCCCAGTGCCTGGAGGTTGTGTGGGTCTGGATCAGGAGGAACTGTCTCTAACTCAATCCTACCAAGACAGAGTGGTTGTGGATATTAGAGCCACCTGGGCTGGGGATATTCCATCTCTATCCTTGGGTGGGGTTGCACTTCCCCATTCATGAGTGGTGCATAATCTGGGGGTCCTCCTGGACTTACAGCTCTTGCTTGATGAGCAGGTAGCAGCTGTGGCCAGGAGGGGCTTTGTACAGCTTCATCTGGTGTGCCAGTTATACTCTTTCCTAGATTGGGTGGGTGGGTGGGTGGGACTCTTCAGACAGTGATTCATGCCCTGGGCACCTCACAGTTTGACTACTGCAATATAGTCTACATCTGGATGCCCTTGAAGACCACCCAGAAACTTCAACTGGTCCAGAATGCAGTGGTATGGGCAGTGATGGGCCTGCCTCAATATGCCCAAGTAACACCTCAGCTTTGCGTTTGCAAAGCAGGTGGTTGGTTTTCTTTTGGCTGTGATTCAAGGTGGTAGTCATTACCTATAAAACCCTATATGGCATATGGCCTTGTTACTTGAGGGACTGCCTCTCTCCCATAGTATCTGCATGGCCAGTTGGTTCTGACAGGGTCGGCATGCTCTGGGTTCCTTCAACTAAATGATATCTGGACTTTGGAAGCAAGACTTCTCTGTTGTAGCACCTGCTCTCTAGAATGAATTTCCTCCCAAGATCTGGGTGGCCCTCAACCTACTCGTGTTTGCAGGGCCTTGGAGTTACTGGCAGGCTTTTGGCTATGGTGGTTGAAGCCCCTTCTGAGTTGTATGCGTATGCTTTCATTGTTGCCCAGTTTTGCCATCTTTGTAGAGAATGAAGAGGATGCGCTTGATGGAGAGAGGGAGAACCAGTACCAAAGAGATGAAAAGGAAAACATAGATTAAGTCCAGGACATGTAGAAAGTATGTGCAAATGTCTCAGACAAAAACCTCCCAATTTCACATGATTTTACAAGAGAGAAAAGGGGGAGGAGAATCAGAACTGCAAGATTATGTTACTATAGCCAATCTAAATAAAAATAGTCTTTAGTCTTCCATGGAGTTTATTTCTTGGTCTGCCTCATAGGGTTGACAATTTTTTGCTCCTTTGTGATCAATTAATTTTAAGTAATAGTTAGTAATTCAATTAAAGTAAAATTTGACTTGCTGCTTATGGTAGTTTGGCCTCTGTTATGTACAGTATGTCTACAATTTGTTTGTATATTATATTTATACCCTACCTTTCATTTAGGAGCTCAAGACAATCTATATAGCTCTCCCTCTTCCTATTTTTATTTTGTTTTTATTATTTTAGCTTATACGTCACTCAATTTTCACTCCATTTTTATATATTAAAATGTAAAATATCAATAACATAACAGTAGGAAGCCCCTGAGAGGTCACTATTTGTGCAGTGAGACCTTCAAGTTCCTGAAATGCCTTCCTGCATAGCCATGTTTTCACAACTTGTCAAAAATATTCTAGGGAGGGGGTGACCTCTTTATATAGACTGTTCCATATGTGGGGAGCCGTCCCTGAGAAGGTTTGAGCACGAAGGTCAGATTTGGGATCCTCGGCAGGCCATATCTACTAGATCTCACTGGATTAGAGAAGTGGTCTTGGAGATCTCCAAGACCTGAACCATGTAGGGATTAGTTATCAACTTGTATGGCAGCTAATGTGCACTTCTTCCCACTCTCCTTGCTGTTGATATCCCTCTTGGAGGTGGTCTTAAATCTACAGGGTCATCTTCCTTTTGAAAAATATTTTTCCTGCCAAAGGCTACTGATTGTGAGCTTTTCTTCCACATATGTCAAAACAGCTTGGGTGGTTTTTGAGTGCATCTGTACTTGACTGGGAGAGGAACACAAAGCTCCTCTTAAAGTTTTAACTCTCAAGAGCCCCCCCACCCCACCCCAGTTCTACAATCTGAGCAACTGTTCCATTTCATTAGGCTGAGACAATTCTACATCAGCGAGTTATAGCCTACGACGTTCAAGATTATCATGGGGAACAAAGTGACTATTAAACTGAGTTGCAGATTTTCATATAGATGTGTCCAAAGTCTACTTTTTCCCTCTTCCAAATAGTTTGTGTGCTTTTCTAATTTTGACCAGTCACCTCTATGGCCATAACACCAACACAAACATGGTATAACAGAGAGTTATGCATTCTTTAGCAATTGCTCTTGGCTAACTCTCTCTCTCGGTCCCTCCCTCTTTGCTGTTATCCAAACTGCAAGCAAGAGGAACTATGCTATTTTCAAACTCTTTCTATCATTCCAGTAGGAGAGTAAAGGCAGTTTGGCATGTAAGGTAACCAGGAATTTATAGGAAACAAGCTTAGCCCATTTCGCAAGTAAAGCTTGGCTGCGTAATTCTTTCCAGTCTGCAGAGCCAAAATCTGAGGCTTTAACTTCCATCTCTGAAGACTTCAATCTTAACTGGTAAAAAAAGGTTCAGTGAACAGATTATGAATAAATACTAGGAAGAAGGTTTCAATTTGGGATAGGTGGGTCATTCTGGGAAATGTTAGAGACTATTTATAAAATAAATATTCTCCTGCTTTGGTGTACTAATCTGGAGGATGACAAACTGAGGGGAATTTTGTATAAAAGAGCATTTGTTTCATTTGTTCCATCAAATGGATCCACCAAGCCAAGATCCAGGCAATTATCAGTGTATGTACAATGACTGCCAGAAAGGAAAACTCTCTAATTCCAGATTATCTCAACAGCTGAAATGTTACTGATTGGCTGTGTTGTATTTTCCATTCACAGAATCCCAAAACAAATGATTTCCTCCTTTTTATACTTTTGCACCATGTGACTTTTGTATAACTGCTGTAAAGATCCTGTAAGAAACCAACTGGAGCCTTAAGCTGTGTGAGGTTGGGAGGATAAAACATTAAACTTGTCACTAGATTTTGTTTCTGGTCTTTGCAGGTAAGACTGATGTATAGAAACATAACACACACCTTTTATGTGGGTAGAAGGCAGACTAATCTTTCTTCCTGCCCAAAGGTGACCCATGGTTTTAAGCAGTGCATAGAACTTCCATTCATGTTTGATTTAGTCTAGGGTCCAAACTTTAAGATACCACATACAAAATCTGTATTTTAGGGTGTGTGGGTTTTTTTTTTTTCCTTAGAAGTCATTGGCCAGCAAAAAGCATCAACGTGAATGTCAAACAACAATACGTAGTGAATATTCTTCCACTATAATAAAGTGACAACATATGTGAGAAAGAGAGAAAAGGAATATGATGGAGAAGTGATTTGAATACAAGGAGCCCCAAGCTAGATGAAGACAAACACTCAGATCCTGCTTAGTTTGGACCAATTTCAGGTTAAAGGTAAGGTGAAGTCTCCTAGGAATGTGGCTCCTGGTGGCTTCATGGACACATCCATAACGCTTTTGGGGAGCAATATGGGGAAGTAGTTTGTCAGGGCCTTCTTCCAGGGGGCTATTTTTGATTTCCCAATCTAGCCAACAGCCTGATATTCTTTGGTGGTCTCCTATTCAAGTCCTAATCAGTTCTGAGCATGCTTAGCTTCTGAGCCTAACATCAGTCAGATGCTACCACCCACAGGTCAATAAAATTGCTACCAAAACTCAAGCTCTTTTGCTGGGCTCATTTCAAGAGTGGATCTTGCAATCGTCATCTATAAAATAACAACTTACTCTTCAAGGTATAAGTAGTTATTTTCTTGTGCTAGCCTCTTGGCATGCAGTTGAGAATCTCTGGCAGTAGAACCATAGGAAATGACCATAGCACCATACTCGCGACACATTTTCACTCGGGTTGGCAGGGTGCAAGTGGACATGATGACAAAGACAGGAATGTGGAGCTCAGAGGCATGATACGCTACAGCCATGGAGAAGTTGCTGTCTGAGGCAACAATCACACCATTTCTTTGCTGGTCCTGGAGAACGTGAACCATCAAATGTAGGACATTGGTTAGAAGCTGGATGCAAGCATCCCAATCTAGAGTGTTAAAACAATTCTTTGGGGTCACCAAAATTAGGACAGCAAGGCTAACATGTTTCTAGCTTTTACATATTGGCATCCGAAAAGGGAAAATGCAGGGAGGAAAGACAAAAGAGAAGCAGCTGAGGTTGTCTCATCTGTGTGTGTTTCTTAATCAGCTCTGCTAGTAAGACTTTAACAGCAATTTGGGGGTGCTTCCAAATGACAACCCTGGGCAAGGTCAAAAACGACCAGACCTTTGTATTTCCACAAATGTCACTTCACATTACATGTATGGAAATATTCCAATAATGCCAAAGAATCCGTAATGAAGCTGGGCTTTACATCACCCCAGCAATGGTTGGGTGATGCTAAATCACTGGTGTTTGAATGTGTTCAAGAGCTAAGCAGACTTGTTTGGCTAAACAGCTGCGGTATATATGAAAGCATGTAAAATGATGCTTTAAGATGCTGTAACTCTGTAGAGCTTCTAAGTAGTCTGTTCCCCCATTTTTAGGGTTCTTGCCTTGCCATCCTTACTGCTTCCTGGGCTTCAGGTTTTCCAAGGAGAAAAGTGGCTTGATGGCTTTCAGCTACTCCTCACAGGAACCACTGGGATTTCGTTGCATGCACCAGATAAATGAATACAACACGAAGTAATATTTCACCCAAATGAAAAGGCTTCACAGAACTGGCAAGGTCAAAAACATGAGCCAGTGGACAAGTGTGGGTTAATGTATGAAAATCCTGCTTCACATTCCAGTTCAACAGCAACACTTATTATGGGAATTTTTCCAGGGGGAAAAATTCTCTCCTTGGGAAATGTTGTAAAAAGATAATTGGAGAAGTTGGAAGCATATTGTCTTTCAGACTAGCTTAGCTTACTTTTCACAGTTGTTTCAAAATTTAGCAAACAATTAATTCACTCCGATGCTCATGTTTCGCTTCCCTGATTTTCCTACCTCTTTTAATGACATCAAAAGGTAAAGGACGCCTCGCTCCTTCACAGTTCCTGTATATTGAAGAATCTCTTTCTTTAGATATATGTCCATTCCATATTGCTTTGAAAGCCTAGAATGCTGAAAACAATGGAACATTATTGAATAACTGTATTTACTCTTACAAACCCACACACAGTATATATGACACAGTAAGGGAAACTACATTAAGGTATGGATTAATTTATTTCTGGTCTATACCAGTTTTGCTACTATTCACTTGTAAATTCATTGTCTTCTGGCTTTTGGATAGATTTTACTTACCATACCATGTGCATTATTTCTGAACATATTATTTTTGAGTTTATTTTCCATCGGACTTTCCTCTAAATTATATACCTTAGTTTTAGAACTGTACCACAACATTCAGAGAAATATGAAAACTAAGAGTAGCTAAACTGGCATCTGCATTAATCTGCAAAATAGAAATAAGGTCATTCCGCTTAACACTGCAAACAGTGAAATCTTTGAGTACCATTCAGAGCAAATGCTATCCTGAACAGATGTGATTTGTCACTGAAAAGTTCCTTCGATTGATCGCCAAGTGGCAATTTTTATTTGCTCTAAGCAATCACACTGATGCTAGCAAACACAACACAGGAGAGACCATAGATTAACAAAAAAATCCTTATGGGTGATAAAGAGATCTTCTATGGACAGATGGTCTTTTGGAAGTGATTGATGTCATGCTGTTGCTAGATTATTTATTTGGCTGATAAGGTGGTGGTTCTGTCTTATCTCTGTGCTGGTTGCTTCCTGTGAGATTAGGGTTGTTGATAGCTAGGTGATGGGATAGATCAGTGTTGTCCAAACTTGGCCACTTTAAGATGAGTGGACTTCAACTCCCAGAGTTC